AGTGAAAGGCGCTCGAAGAATGCAAAAGGAAGTGAAAAGCAGCCGCTTTATTGGAGTCATTTTTTTATTTTGACTTTTTTTTGTCATTTTTTTTTGGATTTTTGTTGGGTGCATTGAACAGGGAACCGCTGTGAAAACGCGGGTCGCATCGAGCTGAACTGAACCCAGCTAATGCCCAAACTTATTAGGTGTTAAGTAATATATTATTAAATTAAATTTGCATGTTTATAATTAAAAGTTAATATACATAAGTATTTATATGCATAAGTATTAAAAAAATTTAATTATAAAGTGCTGTGTATATTATTTAAGTAATTTGTTGTTAAATTGTTAAAAATAATATACTATAAACCATGTACGAGCATCTTAAGCTCTTTTAAGTCACAAGAAATGAAAAATTATTAATATAATAAAATGTTTTTCATTTGAGAAGAATATCTCATAAATTGTTTCATTTTAGTTTCAATTAAATAAATATTTTGAGGCACGCATAAATTTAAGAATATAAATAAATAAAGCAAAAAGCCATTAGCTTGTCAAATGTTTTCTTTAAGTGGCCTTTATCCGATATTCTTACAACTCATTTGCCATAATTTCCCTCTAAAAGCCAGTAAAATCAAACAGATCGCGAGTTTGGCTTTTTGTTTTAACATGTTTATATTTCTCTGTCAGTTTCAATTGCCAAATAAAATAAAAAACACAAATCCAAACAATGGAGTTGGCGGCAAACAATGGCAAAAGGTGTTGCTGTTGCGCTTTAATGTAGCCCAGCCACAAAGCACAACAAAGCGCGGCAACTGCACAACAACAATGGGCCAAAGCAGCATAGAAACAGCGACAACGACGGCAACACAATTCGCATTCGTCTAGAACTTGGCTGTGGATGTTGTATGTGGCCTGTCAGCTGACCCAGTTTAGGCCACAATTACAATTCCGTCTCAAAGTCTTGTTTGTCTTGGCTGCGCAGACGCAGCAGCAGCAGCAGCAGCAGCAGCAGCAGCAACAGCAACAGCTTGTTTTTGGCTGCCCAAAGTGGCATCTACAACAGCAACAAGAGCCGCAGCCACGTCAGATCTGTGTGTTGCTGACATTTGATAGTTTGCTTTCAAATTGACTACAATTGGAGTCAGAGTCGAAGTTGGAGTCGAGTGGAGCCGTTCTTTGTAACTGTGTCGCCATGATAGTTGCTGTTGTTGCTGTTGTTGCTGTAGCTGTTGCCGCTGGCGACAATTGTGTGCCCATTCCCAAGCCACACTGCCCCAAAATTGTCGCTAGTTTGGCGTTTTAATTGCATTTCGATTGACAGACGACAACACGCATACGCCACGTGTGACAGCTGAACAGATCCAAACATTCGCAATTATCCCAACAGAACAAAATTTGATTAATTCAGATATACAAGCTGAGGATGCGGCTACCTCTGCCACAGAATGCGGCACGTTTGTGCGCGTTTGTGGCATGTGTTTAATGTGTGACCCAATTTCCGGCAGCTAAATTACTTCCCAATGGTACCGACTGCAAGTTACACTTAAATATCAAATTAATCTTAAAAGTAAGAGACAAAAACAGCTTTAAGTTGTTTCCCCCAAAAGCATTTAGCTGATTTAGTATATAATTAAAGCACATAGAAATCTGCAAGCTTCATTAAAGCACACAAAAGCTTTTAGACTGTTGAAAGTTCTAACCAATCTTAAAGCTTGATTATTCAGAATCATATTCATTTACGTCTAGCGAGCTTTTTCTTGACACTTAAGCACAGAAAAGCTGATATATATAAAAGCTATAAATAAGACATATATAAATAAGAGCTCTTACCTAATCTTAAAAGTTGATTTTTCAGAAAATGAAAGCTCTAACAAGTTTCTCCTTGAAGATATATAAATAAGAGCTCTTACCTAATCTTAAAAGTTGATTTGTCAGAAAATTAAAGCTCTAACAAATTTCTACTTGAAATAAACATTAGGTTTATCAATGCTCTGACTAAACTTAAAACTAGACTTATGAGAAGCTTAACACATTACATTCAACAAGATTCTTTTAAAAGCTTTAAGCACACTTTGAAGTAAAGCTATTATTTTTTACAAGTTGCCTCTTAGAGCTTAAGTCTATTTTAGGTTTGTCGTCAAAAGCTTTAAGATTAACAAGTTGGCTCTTAAAGCTTAAAACATATGACTTGCGAAAAACTGGATTAAGTGTAGATTAAACTAACTTAAAGTTTAACGTTTAACAACTTCCTTGGGGTTTGCAAAAGCTCTTATTAATCTTAAAGCTTGACCAGCAGCACAAGCTAGAAACTTTAAGTTGTACAAGTTGCCTTTTAAAGTGCATTAGGTGCATTTATGAAGCTTTATCTATTACAATTCGCTCACTATATTCCGCCTTGCTCTAACTGTTTTTAGTTCGCAAAAGTCTTCTGTTGCCTGCTGCTCTATTTAAATCGAGCGCTGTGCCACTTTCAGCTGGTGTCATTGAACCATAAGCGCAGCAGCTCTTGCAACAAATGTGAGGCACGCCCACTCGCAGCATAATTGCATTTAGTTAGCTCTTTGCATGACGTGAGTTGACCCAAAAAACAAAAAATAATAATAAAAATGTTTTTTCAAGCTGCCAGCTAAATAATTTAAGGCACTTTCAGAGTTGAATTGGGCGAGCAATGTGTTTGGTTCCCTCTTTTTTTTGGAGCTAGATCGTAATGAAAATAACAAACTTAATTGGAAATTCTCTCACGGCGTGCGATTGGCAAAATGGCATTGCCATAAAATCAAAAAGGCCGAGCCAAAAGCTTAATTAAACAGCAGCAAATCAAAACGCCCAGCAACAACAGCAGCAACTGTTGCAGCTACAACAACAGCAATCACAAGCTGCCAGCAAAGCAATTGAAGTGAATTATTGAAACTTTCCATATGCAACGGGCGCAGTTAAAGGATTGAGGAAGCTGCAAGTTTGAGAAAACTTGCTGGAAAAATCATTAAAATTGGCGAAAAGCAAACACGAACTCATCTCTCTATCTCTCTCTCTCCCCCTCTGTGTGGGCTGGAGAGGATTGGCCCGGCTTGGCGTGGGCAACGCCGTTCGAAATGAAGGAAGTGTTTGCTCAACGCAACGCAACGCGAACAAAGGCCATTAAAAATGGCAACAAATGTTGCAGGGCGACTAATAAATGTTGCAAGCAGCGACAACAACAGCAACAACAACAGCTTTGACAGTGACAACGGCAACAACTGCAACAAATGTCTGTCACACACACACACCCACTGCGCCTGCAATTGCCCCCACGCTGCCCCCTCCACTGCACTCCAGCCGTCGCTCGTCGCTGCCTCCACATCCCTTTCACGTTTTAGGCAATTAATTGTGCAACATCAAATAAATTGCATTTAAACGCAACAACTGCAACGTTGTCTGCAGCAACTGTTGCCGTTGCAGCAACATTTTCGGTCTGACAAGCTTCATAAAAACTAATTTGTTTTTGCTTTTTTTTGAGAGTCTCCTTTTTGTGATTGCCGTGTGTGGATTGAGTTAACCAGGAAGTAGTACTCCTACATATGCCACAAAATGTCTATGCAACAGCCAAAAACTGCTGCTGCTGGCGGCGCATTGCTTGTGCGCTTTTCCCCAATGGGGCTTTACAGCTTGTTAACGAACAACTAAGATAATCAAGTTGGATGAATTAGACTTTAAGGCGCAGCTTTGTGTTTTGCTGGGCAAGAGACTTAACCAAGACAAACCACAGAAGAAAGTGCGGAAGACAAATTGAAGACAAGGTGATGTACGGTATCGCCTTTCTATGCGATTTTCATGACATAATGTATTGCCTACTAAGTTGTGCCTTACGATTGAGAGGGAAAGAAAGTCCAATTATACGATTGGTAGAAATACAGATGAATAATAGAGCGAGGCGATTGAGCGATATAGAAAACAAGTTAGAAAGATTAAGAAATTGAGATAAACTGTGAATGAAATTAAGTGGAGAGCGAAGGATAGGGAGAAAGTGAGATTGGATGTCATAATAGCCATTATACAAACAGTTTTCTATATCATATTACATAAAACAAACATATCTAAAGCAATCCCAAAGTATAATTAACTTTGGTCCCAACCATTGCATTTATCTAATCATAATCGATAGATGCCAACATTGGGAGATAGTAAAATTTAGCCCGCACCTTGTATATGAAAATATTTACTGCTCGCAATATTTTCAGTACAACGGGCAATTGTAAATAGAAGACGTAATTGCAGTGGAAAATCAGGTTTACAAATCAAACATAAAGTAGGGTTTAGACATTGAACTGTTTTATCTCAATCCATTCAAAATGCCAATCATTTTTCGGGATAATATTTCTGTACGTTCTAAACTCTCTTTTCGATGATACTTAAGGTAATGAGAATCACATAGAGAGGCGATGTACATGTGAAACGTAAATGAAAGATAATGTCAGACGCAACAGACGAATACAATTCGATCTACCCAGAAAATATATATACTTATATATAACAAATATATAGCTTATTGGATCAGTTTATAGACCTGATAAACAGCGTAGACTTTTTGGAGCAAGATATGTGTGCAGCAGCTTCTTACATAATATAAGCTGAAGCAGCTACCAATTAAAGTATTATCAAATCAATTATATTAAGTAATAAAAACCAGCCTGACTTATGAGTAGCAAGTATTAGCGTAGTCATGTTTAGACTATCTAAATTTAATAGGGGCCTATTAATTAAACAAGCCGTGCTGAGACATTGCCTTAGAGCACAGCTGAGCAGCAGATTAAGAGCTCAAGTCTGTCGGATACTTATCGAACTGTCCAATAACCATTGGCAGCCGCTCGACAGTTGGCAGACACAATCTCTGATCGGCATAAGTGTAAAATCTGCCAACGCTTTAACAGTTGGCTAATAAAGCTGACCACGATGACAACAAGCGACTAGGTGCAGCCGCCATTCACTTGCCGAGCAGCAGCTTGGGCAAAGTCTTAAGCCTAGATGGAGCTACTTACAGTCACGGCTCATGCCAGCCGAGAGGCATTTCTTGAAGCGGCAATATTGACAGCGATTCCGATTCAGGCGTATGACCAGGCACTTGCCGTCGCGCAGGCAGCGATATTCGATTTGCTTCTGAATGCTGCGACGAAAGAAGCCCTGCAACATGTAAACACAAGACATGAGAGAAAGAGAGAGAGAGAGAGAGGGGGAGGAGAGAGGGGGAGGGGGGAACTTACCTTGCAACCCTCGCAGGAGGTTACACCATAATGATAGCCCGATGCCTTGTCGCCGCAAACTTTGCAGGGCACAAACGACTTTGAGGAGACGCCGTTGTTGCCGTTGTTGTTGCTGCTGTTGTTGTTGTTGTTGTTGTTGTTGCTGTTGCAATTCCCGTTGCTGCTGCTGCTGTTGTTGTGGTTGCTGCTGCTGCTGCCGTTGCTGGAGTCAACGATGCCGAATTGTTGCTGCTGCTGCGAGAGCTGCTGTTGTTGTTGCTGCTGATGCAACTGTTGCTGCTGCGCGTGTTGCTGCTGCCCGTGTTGCTGCTGCTGCTGCTGTTGCGAGTGTTGCTCTGCAATGACAAAGTGCATTTGTTGTTAACTCTAGCTGTTCACATTACTCATACGCCACTTGGGCAGGCGCCACAAATTGTCTCGCTGTGGCAATTTGCTAAATGCGCGCGACTATCGCCTGCTCCACATCTGCCGCATGTTGCTCGTCGCTCGTCGCTTGTCGATTGTCGCTTGTCGCCTCATTTGTCAGTGACAAAAACACTGACAGCTCGCCTGTCAATACACTCCCCCGACGAGTTGGCAAAGAAAACGGAAGCGTGCTCCATGCGATTGGCAGCTCTAATGGAATCCGTGGGCGGCTTACATTAGGTGAATCCAGGGAAATGGTCAGACCAAATCAGATTAATGGAGCACGCGCTGTGGCAATGTGTATGTGGCATGCCACGGCTAAGCGGCGAAATTACATTTAAATATAAATTTTAATTTAATGCGTATGCATAACTATAACTAGCGACGCTTGACGCTCTATAATTCGCAACCAGTTAAAGCAGCGTTTTTATAGCCTGAATCCATGGAAAGGGTAAAAAACGGGTATAAAGATCCAATGCAAATGTATATAACAGACAGAGGGAAACATCTGCGACTCTTTTAAGTATATATATTCTTGATCAGCATCAATAGCCGAGTCGATCTAGCCATGTACGTCTGTCTGTCCTTCCATCTTTCAGTCTATCAGTCTGCCCTTATATATGAACGAGTCGATCTTGAGCCCAGAAATTTTGAACGTAGATCCTCCTGTTGCCCACGCAGTAAGAACTTGTTTTCGGTAATCATAACCTGCCCCGTTTCCAAGCAATCGATAAAAATTGATGTCGAAATCCTGTTTTTTGAGCCAGTCTCTTTGGTCTTAATAGCCAGATTCACCAAATTTGACTTATAGCTTCTAGCAAAGTATCTTTCATTTTGCAGGCAAGAGAAGGAAAAACCTTCAAAATGTCAAGTCTCTAGATCTTGTCTTTAGGCTCAATGAGTTTATACAAAGGGACAGACAGACGGACAGAGACACAAACGGGCAGAGAGACAGACGACTCAGCTATTGATACTGATCAAGAATATATATGTACCTCATGAAATCGGCGTTCTCTACTTTAATGTGTTACACATTTCGTGACTGGATTATAATACTCTCTACAAGGCTATAAAAGAAGTATGCTTGACAATATGCTTTGGCCTACAAGATATTGTAGTAAAAAAGTACTTAAAAGGCAATTACCCTATAAATTTAATCTGCTTTTAAGGCTTAAGCACTTTTGTTGGCGTCTACAGCTTTAATATAAAGCTGGCAACTGGTAGAGGAAAACACATTTTGCGAGCGCAGCGCTTGCAGCAGCAAGAAGCAAACAAATTCAAATGCAGCTCAAAAGTGCATTCAACTTCAGCAGCGACAACAGCAGCAACATTGATGATGGCTGCTTGAATGTGTGATAAGCGAAAATGCCAAAAAAAACAAGTAAAAACAACAAAATCACGTATACGCCACCTACACAAAGGCAGCAGCAGCAGCAAGGGGAAGCGGGCAGCGGGCAGCGGGCAGTGGATTGTCGTCAGTCACGGGGAAAAGCGGCAACAACAACAACTTGCAACAGCCGCACAATTTTCACTGCAAGCGCCGAAAATTTGCAATGCAAATTGCTGAGAGGCAGCAACAGCAACTGCAACAGCAACAGCTCGTAGAAAATTGTGCGCTTCTTGGCATTTCATTTCATTTCAATTTGCCTTTTTCTAATGCAAAAAAAGAAAGAAGAGGAGAAAAAAGGCAAATGAACTAAGCGCGGAGTTTGAACTGCGCGTGTGGCAGTTGTTGCAGCAATCGGCATTGCCACACCTCGAAATGCGAGGCGAAATGAAATGAAATTAATGTGCAAGTTGCACGAACTGGACGCAACGTTGCAGTTGCAAGCAGTTGGAGGCGGGGCATGCCCCACTGCTACGCGCTTGTGCAATTGCAAATTGAATTTTCAGCCAAGGCGCTGGAAAATGTCAGCAGCAAAGGAAATTCAAGTGGCAGTCGCCGTCGCTGCTGCTGCTGCTGCTGCTGCTTTACTTGATTTTCGCGCCGCGTTCAAATGCAAATCACTTGGCCGCCTTTGTGAGTTGACAATTTGGACGCCATTGTTGCTGCTGCGGCAGGGACTGGAGCAGGGGCAGCTGCCCGGCATTTCCGCGTTGCCAGACAGCGGCCAGCGATAGACAAGCCACAAGCAACCGCGGCGACGACCAGTTCATAATTTTTGTTGCAACTTGTTTTCTTTTCTGATAAAAAGAAGCAAAAAAACAAATAAGAGTCTCTAGTCGGGAGTGCCCGACTAGGAGATTCCCTGTACCCTGTTCAACCTCATTTTCAACAGTAGATCTTATTGTTCTATAGAATATTTGTGTATTGCCAAGAAATCAATTGCATTAAAACTGTGGCCATAGCTATAAAATGAAACATACTTGATATATGTATATATATACAATTCTGGAAGCTGCATGTCAAGTTTGGAGAAAAACAGGATTTCGATATCGATTTGTATCGATAACTTGCAGACTATCGGGAAAAATATACGGTACTAGGAGGACCTAAGTTTAAAAATGCAAGTCTCTAGCTGTTAAAGGTTCTGAGATCCTCTAGATCGACTCGGCTATTGATGCTGATCAAGCCTATATGGGATCGGAGATGCTTCCTTCTGCCTGAAACATACTTTTGCACAAAAACAGTATGCCCCTTTTACCCATTTTGAATGGGTTCAGGGTATATAAGTAGAAAGGAAAACTGATTGAATGCTTGGCACTGACTGACTGACTGGCAGTTAAATAAATGACAGCTGAGCATCGTTAGCGACAGCAACTAGTTTTGGGCGGCAAATCTCCCCTCCCCACCCTCCCTGCCTACTGCTCTTCACTCCTTCCGCAGTTTAATTTGTTTTGCCGCCTCACTAATTGCAGCAATTAAATGCTGCTAATAAATCCTTGCCAGCAATTCTGCAACCCAATTAGAAAGCGGGCAAAACTCGAATGCCGCAAGTTTGCTCGAGCACTTAGTTGGCCATGCGGCAAACTCATTTGGACCCTCACGCAACGCAGTTGCCAGAGAACAGCCCAAACATTTGCAAATCAACAACTTCAAGTACTTGAAATATATGAGAGCCTGAAGTTTGAAATTGGGCTGCACTTAAAGCAACTCCATCTCTAGCGCATGCCTCAAGAAGTTGCAAAAAGGAAAAATATTTTTAAAAATTATGCGAGTCTAAATAATAAGAACTAAATATTCATGTAGTCTAAATATAGTATACATATTAATATCTATACATATGCAGAATATTAAAAAATGTTTATATGAAACAAAACTTGCAGCACTTTGTGCACTGAGAGAAAACAAGCTATGCAATAACCCTTCACGCACTTACAACTTCTTGTTCTTAACATTTTAGATATGCAATATTTGGTTTATTTAAACATGAATCTTAGAAAGCAAATGGGCTAGGATCAGGTAACATAGGTATAACTTAAAGTATTTATACTTTCAATTCCTTAAAATTGTGAAGCACCTTGGCCAAGACTTGAACTGAACCCAAGAGTTGATAAACTAACGTATAATTACATCTAGAATTTGCATACTTAAAAGCAGCTTGAAACATTGGCAAGAAAATGCTGCGTATGTTGATATTTTATCAGGGAACAATAATTACAAATCCAATTTACATATAAATATTTCTTTAATTTTGTTTTTAATTTTCCAAACACTTGCTAACTTGTGTATAAAATATATATAAGATTGTTACAGTACAAATTATTGTGCCCTAATAAAATATTAACATGGTTCAGTAAGATAACATCGTTTGTTCCGCATTGAATTGAAAGACATACTCTGAGATATTTTGAAGCATAAAAGCTTAAATTAAGAGTTAGAAGTTGAGAATCTAATAAATAAATCGAATTATCAGAGATTAAGAAGGAGTATCTAATTCGCAAACAGTTCAACAAATCTGATAATATACACAAATATAGATATGTGTTTCATAAGATAAGATATGGATATTTTTAAGGTTTGAAGAATTATGTTTAACATCGACAAGGAAAGGTCATGATGCAAGTCCGGGCACTAAAATATAAATAACTTTGGCCTCAATCATTGCCTTTATCTAAACACATTTGTCAGTTGCCAATTTTGGGCCAAAATTCAATCTAGCCCGCGTTTTGTATATGAAAATATTTGGGACTTACAATATTTTCAGAACAACAGGCATTCGCAAATGAATTCTAAGTAAAATTTATTAAAACTTAAAAACCAAAGCGAAGCCCCCATTAAATCATTCTTAAATGGAGCTAAATACAAGTATTTTATTATAATTATTTCATAAACTTTTCTGATTTGAATTGAAAGCCAAATTATTTAAAAATCAAGAGCCAGAGCCTAAATTCAGGTATGTGCAAAACCCTCATTAAGTCCGGCTTAAACAGAGCTGATTCAAAGTATTTTATTATAATTATTTCGTAAGCTTTCCTGGTTAGTTAAAGTTTTGCGGAAATCCTGGAAAAGTAGTCAAAACTCAACTTGATTCAGCTCTTTGATTTAACTAAGCAAATGGTGAACGTAATTTGAAGTTATTTATGAAAATGAAAACAATTTTTCATGGCTATCAATTGCAACAACGACAACAACGACAACAATTGCAACAACAACAACATTGACAGACAATCGCAACATGAAAGCCAATTTGCTTGCCACATCTATCAAATGCTGTGAAAAACAAAAAAAAACTAACAACAACTGTGAATTACATTCATTTTCGCATTTTCCATGCTGCGCCTTAATAGTTTCCGCGAAACGAGGCAGACGAAAAATGCGAATAGCTGGCGAGTAGTAGGAACAGATAAAAGCGCGGAGAGGCACAATTTGTGGCAATTGTTGTTGTGGTTGAGCAGCAACACGGAAGAGAGACGTGACACACTTGCAACATGTGGCATACCTGCGTGTCCTTTGCTCAGATGCGCAACAGTTGCAGCGGCTGCCGCGTGACCGGAGGAGGAGCTGACCGCCGACGAGGATGTTGCTGTTGTATGCTGTAGCTGGAGCTGTTGCTGCTGCTGCTGCTGTTGCTGTTGCTGCTGCTGACTGGCATTGAGAAGCGTCGTTCGATTGAAGTGCTCGGCACTGGATGCAGATGACGTGGATGATGATGAGGATGAGACTGTGGCCGAGCTGGAGCTGGAGGAACAACAGCCGCCGCCGCTGCTGCGCCCGCTGTCCGGTGAGGAATGGGCGCCGGCCGAGCTGGAGCTGTTGCTGGCGGGACCGAACTGATGCACACTGCTGATGGCGTACAGAGCACCTCCACCATTGCTCAGAGCCGTGCAGCTCAGATGCGCTGCTGTTGCCGACGCTGCTGCGGGTGCAGTTGCTGCTGCTGTTGCTGCTGTTGCTACTGCTGCAACGGCAACTGTTGCTGGCGTCGCGCTGTAGAAGCTCTCGCACTGCAGCAATTGCAGCGGATTCGCTTCGATGGCACTGAGGCAATGTTGCAGCTCCTGTGCGGTGCCAGCTGCCAGCTGTTGCTGCTGCTGCTGGTGGTGCTGCTGCAACAATTGCTCCTCGGGCTCCGAGTCTAGGCTGGCCGCTTCGCTATATGCGCCTTGTGTGGATGAATCTTCGGGCGTGTCAAAGAAATGCAAATTGAAATCTGAATTTGCATCAAAACTGACTTCCGGCAGTGCTTCGTTCTCCTCCGCCTCCTCCTCCTGCTGTTGTCCCGCCTCCTCCGCTTCTTCCTCCTCGTCCTCGTCCTGCTCCTCCTCGTCCTCCTCTTCTTCCTCGTCCTCTTCCTCTTCCCCGTCGTCCCCCTCCTGCTGTTGCTGCTGCTCCTCCTCCTCTGCGTCTAGATCAGCAATATTATTGTCGTCGTCCTGCTGCTGCTGCTGCTGTTGCTGCCGCTGCTGCTGTTGTTGCTGCTGCTGTTGCTGCTGTGGGCGTGTCGGCTGGCCCAGGTTCTTTACCACAGTGTCGATCAGCAGATGGGAGCGTAGTTGTGCCGGTGCCGGTGCCTCCAGCTCTATTTGGTAAACATCCATGTTGCTGGCGTCGCTGCATTCGCATTCGCATCCATTATCATCAACAACATCATCACGCAAATTGAATTCCCCACAGGCAACACTCGCTGAAACGTTCTCAGCATTTTTGTGGACGTTTTTCAATTTATATTCCTGTTTAACACTTAATTTCCGGCAACATTCAGAATATATCTTGATTGTCTATGTAGACATATAGTCAAGGCATTTACTCAATTGTTCTTTGAAGATTTTAAGTCAATTTTGTATTTGAATATAACTGAAACTTGACTTTTTATATGAAAGGGAAAACTTTTATTATTCTTATCTAATTTCTAGTCTTATCCATTCAAGATTTAACAAGCAATCCCCATAAAAAATATCTTAAGCTTCTATAAATTCTAAAAACCGACCACAATATCAACTCCAAGATGATTGAGAGGCAAAGAAGAAGAATAAAGGTAAATAAAATCCTAAACTTATCTATCTGAAATTTCCTCTTCAACTCAATAATCAATTTCTAAGCTTTTTAAAAGGTTTCTGCGACTTTTCAATCTTCATTACTTCTAAAATCTATTAAATTTCTAAGAATCTGTTATCTCATATCTCCTTCCCTTAACTTTTTTACAGAACTATTAGGAAAGTACTTAAATCTAAACAATTTTCACACTTCACTTCAGCACAAACTAAGCTTGATTATCATAATTTTCAGCGTAATTTTTCAAATCACTTCCGTGTTTTTGCTAATCCCGACGTTGGCACTGCCACTGTTCAAAGGGTCCACGGATTCCGGCAGCTGGATAAGCTGGACGTGCACACTAATTAGACAAGTTCGAATACAAGCCGTGGGGCGGGGGAAGCAGAAGCGGGGGCGCGACGTAACAGCGTTTGGGGAAAATGCCAAATGGAAATTGTGAAAATGTGCGATCGCGCGTACAAAACTCTCGTCTCGACGAGATCCAAGCGCCAACTTCGCAGCGCTCCAAATGCGCAACAGAAATTCAAACCAAACTGCAGAACTGCAGAACCTACGACAACGACAACAACGACGACGACGACGACGACGGCGACAGCGACGGCGGCGGCGACGATGGAGCGCAAGAAAAGAACAAGAATAAGAAGAAGGCGCGTGCGTCTGTATGTGTGTATGTGTGTGTGGAAAGAGTAGGAAAATATCATGTGTGTGTGAGTGTGGAGTAGGAAAAACTTTTGTAGCGCCGTTTGAGCGGGCACGAGGCTGACTCTGAAGCAGAGGAGCCAGCCAGCAGCAGCAGAAGCAGGAGAAGGAGTGGGAGCTGGCAAACGGGGTGCTATTGCTGTTATTGCTTCTATCTTTCTAATCTGCAAGCAGCAACAACTGCAACAGCAACAACAACTACACGCATTGGCACTCTCGCTGCCCGTTCTTGTTGCAGTTGTTGTTTTTGTTGTTGTTGCACTTTTCCATTTGCTGGGTCCCACTCGGTTCCTGGTTGCTATTTTCAATTTCTATTGCCCGTGGGCAGCAGCTGCCGCCGCGACGCCAACGTTCGACGGCGACGTTGACGTTGACGTTCACTTCAAGTGCACACACTTCTCTCAAGATCAATTTCACACACACAACGACCGGCAACGAACCTAGCGAAGAGAACCGTTACAAAGTTTGCACTGAGAGCGAGCGCGAGCATAAACAGGAGAGAGCAGAACGAAGCGCAGCCGAGTCAAAGAACCTTTTGCGTCTCTTGAGTGTGTGGTCGCGTGTGTGTGCAAGGCAGCGCCAGCAGGAGCAAGCGAGAGAGCAGCTAACGAGCGGGAGTTCTACAATGCGGAAGTTAAAAGTTGCACTCCATGCTGCTGTTGTTGTTGTTGTTGTTGTTGCTTTTGTTGTTGCTAGGCAGTAGAAAGTGCCAAACTAGTTTTGGTGCCAAAGATTTCGAGCTGCGCTGGCAAAAAAAAAAAAGGTATTCATGACGCCCGCAACATAGCGGAAAGAACTTTTACAAAGAGCAAGAGAGAGAGAGAGAGAGAAACAGCTGGGAATGAGTGGGTTTTTGGTGTCCTATGTATACTGGAAGTGCATACATGCATACATGCATACATGCATACATGCATACATATGTATCTATGGATGTTTATATAAAAATCAGCTCATTAGCAAAACTTTTTTAACTAGAGCAAAGACAGATTCTTTTGTTTAATTATTGTCATGTTATTTTTAAAAGATAAAAAGATATAATGTCATGGGTCTTAAAATATTCGCATTAATAGAAGTAAATATGTTAAACACACCAACAAAATATGTCTTGAATGATTGCTTAATCATAATAACGTCTGTCTATTATAGTCGGTACCATCAAAGTCTATTGGATCGTATAATATGCACATATATTTTCGAATCACACTCCCCGATCTGGCTGTCCCTTCAGTTTGGCTGGCTGGCTCCTTTACGCATACATCAAATCGGCGCTGCCGCAGGGCAAAGGAAAAGATTGAAAAGTCACCCAAGTGCTCTATGCGCACAATTTTCCACATTTCGCAACGGTCGCCATGGCGCAACCGCCTCACACATTTTCCATGACGAATGCCTGGCACAAAAGAGAAGCAACGAAAGTCAATGATCAGCGTGCGGCAAACGTCGACGGCGACAGCGGCCGCAACTGCGGCTAGTTTGCTATTTTTCCAACGGCAGCGAAAGCAGCAGAAACTGTAAATAACAAGAAACAGCAAACATCGAGGATCGAAAGCGAAAAGTCAACGAGGCGAAGAAGGCGAAGAAGGCGGGCGACGTAATGGTTCGCATAGCCGAAGCAAAGCGAACGCCCGCCCGCCGCCCCCAACAAACGTTCGATTGCATTTGCCTGATAAAACCTGATCTGCACAAGCACACACACACACACACACACACACATACACTCATGTGTGAGTGACGACGCCATAAGACACGCGACGTTGACGTCGACGTCGACGCACCAGGAAGAGAAAAATGAAAATGCCGCTCGCTGGCGCAGCTGCTGCTGCTGCAGGCGAAGATTGTGTAATCGCTGTGAGTGTGTGCGTGCCAGCGAGAGCGTGCGAGAGAGCGCGCGCGCGTGTGTGTGTGTGGGCTTTGAGTGAGAGTTATTTGCTGGCTGCTTGCCCTCGTTGCCGCTACCACGTGGCCTGCTGCCGTTGTTGTTGTTGTTGTTGTTGTTGTTGTTGTTGTTGCTGTGCCCATTGCCTATGCCAATATGACCATGCCCAGTTGCTGGCGTGCGCCCATTGCATTTCACTTATCAACGCGTCGCAGCCGCCGCTGTTACTCATTTTTTTGCGTTTTTATTCGCTTGTCTCTAAGTTCAATGACTTGAGCAACGTCACGGGCAGCAGCAGCAGAGGCAGCAGCAGCAGCGGCAGCGGCAGCAACAACAAAGTGACGCAAATGCGTTTAGTTTTATTTATTTGCTCATTATTATGCCCCTGCTGCTAGATTCTTGAATTCTTGTTTACTTTGCACATTTTTTTCATAGCTTCTGTTTTGCTCTTGTTGCTGATGTTGCTGTTGTTGTTGCTCTTCCTCTTGCGGCCAGTTAGCGCTCGTGGGGGAAGGGGGCTGGGCTGATATGATAGCTTAGAAAGCTGTAAACAAGTTCCAAAGCAGGCGAAATTATCACTTGGCCTAATGAGTTTTCAGCTGAATTAACAGGAATTACCCTCTAAAGCTGGGAGTGGGCTCTCATTAATGTTTGATCGGCATTAAAGTCGTTTGATTAGAATTGTTAGTGAAAGTAATTAACAGTAGAAAGTCAACAAGAAAAGTACGTCAATAAAGTGTTTTAATTGGCAAATAAAAAATAACTTTTTTTTATACTTTCTTGCAAACAAATTTGACTTAAGTTGAGCATAATTTTCCTTCTAAACTTATTTGGTATTTTTATTAATTATTTATTATTATTTTATAATTTTATGCTTCATATTGAAATATTTTAAAGAAGCTATTTTAATATTTAAATTTTAGCTTTATTTTTTTTTTTTGTCCGAAGTAAAAAGTTCTTATGGGCATTTGCTTAAAATAAAATTGCGGCTAAAAATAATTAAGAATTCAAATTTATAGCATACTTTTGGGCAATTACCTTAAAAAGGAATGTTAGAACTTTCTCAACAGATTAAAAATATTAACTTAAGGTAATTTCAGTTATTTTAACAGACAGAACTTTTCAGAAACTCGCATTAAATTCCACATTTGTTTTTAATTCACTTAATAAAGCCGCAATTTCAATTGCTGGCAGGCTGTTTATGTGCAACATGCACGTGCCCCAAGGATCCTCGGCGGATAACAATCTAAAGCGGCAGCCACCGCCCGCAGCTTGTGCCAGAATTTACCGTGCCACGGAAATCTCTATATAAATGTCACACACAATGCAGCAGCTGCCACATGGGCCTGGGGGCACAGATTGTTGCCTGCGGCATTTCTGGCTAACACTTCTCAGTGTGTGTGTGTGTGTGTGTGTTAGCCAAAGCGAGCGACTGCAGCAGCGGCTGTTTTTCTGGCAATGGCATCGAGCCCGCAGCCGAAACCCGAACTCAAACACAAAGCCCAAAACACACACAAAAGACATTTTGGGTCGAGCTATGTCGGTGGGCGCTGTGGCAACAGGAGCGGGCTGGGGCGGGGCCGGGCCGGGCCGGGCCGGGTGTCAGCCAGAGGCATGTGCAATGTTTGCCTGAATGTCAGCAGCCTCAATAAAATGTTGGGATTTTATGTGGTGCTGTTGTTGTTGTTGTTGTTGTCGTTTCTTTCCTGGGTCATGATCTGTTTCGTGAGGAAAACCGGGCAGCTATAAATAACAGAGCCGGAGCGCGGTAAGAAAAAAACCCAAAAGATATTCAAGCAAAGTGTAACAAACGTTTTGCATGCCGCGAACAAAACGTGCTAAGAAGCAGGGTGTATTAGTTGCTGGGCCTTTTGCGCTTTTGTCAAAAATGGTTCAATTCAACGAATTTTGGTCGGGGTAAGTCGAGTGGTACATTTCCTATAGAGATACATTCTTTTTTCTATATGTTACTTG